AGCACTGACTTATGTTTTTCTCCCCAGTGTCTGTGGGAGAAAGACAAGGCCTAAGGCCGCTTGCTGGCTATAGCATCTTAGCCCTAGGCCCCAAAGCAAGAACTAGACTGATTTGCCTCTTTACAGGGAGCCCCAGGAACTCACCCAACAAAGTTGTTGTTTTGTTAAGTGCTGTAGAGTCGGATTCCGACTCTATAGGGTTTCCAAGGAGCAGCTGGTGATCTTGAACCGCCCACCTTGCAGTTCAAAGGGCTTTGCATTCTGGTGCATTAACCCACAGTGCCTCACAAAGTAGGGTGTGCCTATTATTATAACCAAAGCAGTTCCAGAAGCATTCCTTCAGAAAGAGAACTGTCCCAACACTGTAAACATGTAACTTAATTAGGTCTGTCCTTTGCTTAAACGATGAGCCACCTAAAGCTCTCTCTATATCGTCAGCCTGACATTTATATAATCAGTCACTCCAGTGAATGTCAGGGACACAGAGCCAGGGAGCCAGTGGGGAAACTGTGGCAGGGGGTGGGAGGGTGAGGGCAAGAGCATGGGTAGCTCACCTCTTGAAGCGTCTGAAGCCGCCTGAACGTAACTCTCCTGAGAAATGGGGAAAGAGTCTCAGTAAATGTGGGCCCAATGACATAGCCAGTGTCCCCCAGAGAGGGGCGGGTGGCGTGGTGGAGGAGCAAAAGCATGGAAAAGTGGATCTGGCAGACCTGGGTTTGAATCCTACCTCTGTTTCTCACTACCTGGGAGATCTGGGGCAAGTGAATTAAGCTCTCAGCCTTCCTTGAGTTTCTCATTGGCAATATGGGGATGAGAAGAGCAGCTACCTCCCAGGGCTGCTAAGATGCCATGAGAGAACATGAAAGCATCCGGCTGGGTGGTGTGTGGCCCAGAGACCTTTGTTTCCACCACACTCGTTCTGATCCGGAGGATTTTCTCTCTATATTGCACTCTACAAAGGGGTGGGTCAGGGTTGTCCCTTCAAGAACAGAATGGGAGGCGCCTCCTGCAGCCCCATGAGTCCAGTTAAGAAGGCTGGAATAACAGACCCCAGCCCAGGCCCAAACCGTTTTCAGGCCACAGGCCGCCCGGTTCCGGTACAGCGTGGCCAGCAGGGCCTTGTCCTTGGTCAGCTTCAGAGCCTGGCTGTAGCTCTTCGCCGCGGCCTTGTAGTCCTGTAGCTGGAAATGTCCATTGCCTTCCTCCTTCAGCTGCACTGCCTCTACCTCCGCCATCTGTCAGAGAGTAGAGGCTCAGTCCCACCCGTCCCTCACTCTAGACAGAGGCTGAGCTCCTGGCCTCAGGGCCCAAACTCCAGGATCCCCTTCTCCAGGAGGCCTGGAGGTGAAGATTCAGCAGGAATGAACCGGCTCCATGGACTCCTAATTCCATTGCCCCAGAAGGACAAAACCAATGCTCAGAGCAAACGACCAAATGGAAAGGGAGCTCAGCGTCCCTACTTCTCTGTCCCTCCCAGCCAGGGTACTTAAGTCCCCACTTTAAAGGCCTAATCTCTCCTTGCAGTTTTTTTCCCAGTCCCCATTTCCCTCCCCAGAAACACCTCTGGGCCCAGCTCACTGTCTCAGGGAGGACCCAGCTCTTGATCTGTGCTCCTGTGAGGTGGCCTTCCAGTCCACCAGTCTGGGTCACTCCTCCCAGCACCCCCTAGGAGACTTTATCACCCTTGCCAGTGGTTCCAGACCATATTTGGTCACAGGGGGCAGGTGGCCCTGGAGTGTGTCACTGATACTCAGGGCCCTCCCCCTTCCCAGACAGACTCGTGGAGGGACTGACTATCCCCTGCCTGAGCACTCTGCTTAGTGGCAGTCCCGCGGGGTCAGACACTCACAATCTAAAGAGAGAGAGAAAGATCCAGAAGGAATAGAAACCTCCTTAGCTGGCCCCTCTCCTTAGGCACTTTCTCCACCTCCATCCTAGATAAACAGCCTGCTCTTTCTCCCTCCCCTAATCACTGCTATTTTGGGAGCAGGGTGACAGCTGAGGGGCTGGCAGACCTGTGCACAGAGCAGCTGCCCAAGTCCCAGAACAACTGTTGACTTCCAGAGGAACTTTTCAGCAGGGTGGAGGGGAGGGACAATAAAGCTCCTTCCACTTGTCTGAAAATCCACCCGCTGCTGTCGGGGCTAATTCAGAGCAATTTTGTAGGACAGAGCAGAGCTGCACAGCAGTGTTTCCAAGGCTGTAATCTTTATGGAAGCAGATGGACATCTTTCCCCTGCAGAATGGCTACTGGGTTTACACTGCCAGCCTTAACCACTGCACCACCAGGGCTACTTCCCATTTATCTGTTGTTGTTGTTGTTAAGCGCTGTCGAGTCGGTTCCGAACCATAGTGACCCTGAACAGGGTTTCCAAGGCTATAAATCTTTACTGGAGCAGAACGCCTCATCTTTCTCCCATGGAGCAGCTGGTAGTTTCGAACTGCTGATCTTGCGGTTCACAGCCCTATTCATCTACAACTCCTCAATTCCTTCTGCTTTCATTTGCTGAAAACATCTTTGCTTTTGAGAAAGACCAAAAGGATTCAGTTTAGTGTAAATGGATTGTCCATTTGTTTCTATCTCATGGCCCCTACTCATCTCTATCTGTATCCAGTGGATAGGATAGTTACCTGAGTGGCCAGCCTGCCTTTCCCATGACTGGCAGCTCCCTGAGGATGAACTCTGCATACCCTCCATCAGACAGAAATCTTCTCCCAAGGCAAGAGCTGGGTCAGACAGGGAGTTTCCTGAGACCAAGGATTGTATTCCCCCCATTCAACTGAGTATTCTTCTGGGACAAATTGAGTCTGTTTTAATTTTCTTTGGCTTCGGCCTGAACTTGTGTATGATCTGGTCCACAGTTTGCCCTGGCATTTTTTGGTTGATGAAATGGAGCTTTTCCACCCTCTCTTTCCAAAGATGTAGCCCGTGAGTTTGAACCCTCGACCTTGTGGTTCAAACCGACCTTGTGGTCCAGTGCTTTATACCACAGTGCCACCTAGATGCTCAGTATTCGCTGAGTGATTGGATTGAAATCATTTCATGAATCTGTGATTTCTAAGTATGATGGATACCAGGATGCTTTGGAAACATAGAACAGAGAAGTATGTCCACGTTAGTGTCGGAGAAAACTTCCTTGAGTCGATGATTCCCCAAACCAAACCTGTTACCATCGAGTAAAATCCAATGGAGAGTGACTATTGGACAGAGTAGAATGTTTCCCCGGGTTTCCAAGGCTGTAAAACTTTACAGGAGATTGCCACATCTTTCTCCAGTAGAGTGCTTGGTGGGTTTAAAGCCCTTGGACTCCTGGTGTGGCATTGGACTGCTTACCAAAAGATCAGCGGTTCAAACCCACCAGTTGCTCCTCGAAAACCCTGTACAGGGTCGTTATGAATCGGATGCTACTCGTGGGCACTTAACAACAACAACAACAAACGTTTCAATTAGCAGTCAAGCACATGTCCAAGGGGCTCTATGCTTGTTCAAGACAAAAAGTGTGCAATAAAAAATTATTGAATGAATCAATGTGTAAGGCAAGACCTGAAGTGTAAGGAACTGTTCCAGAACAAGGAAAATAAAAGTACAAAGCATGAAGGTAGGAAAGATCAAGCCTTAGAAAACAGGAAGGTGACTGGAGAAGAGTTGGGTTTTTTCCTGTATGTCAAAGGGAGCCACTTCAGAGCTTTAGAGAGGGAAATACTGAACCAGAAATTCAGTTTGAAAGTTTACTCTGGCTGCAATGTGGACAACAGATTGTAGGAGTCAAGAATTGGTCCAGGCAGGAAATGATACTGACTCAGACAGGAATGAACAGATTCATGATATAGTATTGCTGGGGCAGAAGCAACAGGCTTGGAACTGCTTACAAGTGAGGGGCATGAGAGAGTAAGGTTGCCAAGGAAGGTCCTGTGGTTTCTGGTGAGAGAGTTCATGTTCCTTGGTCTTTACTTCAATTCCTGATCTGTAATATGGGGATAGAAGGGTCAATGGGAGGATTAAATGAGTTATATACATAAAACACTTCGAGCAGTGCCTGAAACATTGTTAGCATCATCGTTATCGCTTTGCAATACTGGTAATTATAGAAATGTTTTGCTTTTGTACCCATCAAGTATTAACTGACTTGATCCATTAAAAATATTAATAATAATGCCTACTCTCAACTCAGGCACTTAACAACAACAACAACAACAACTCTCAACTCAAGGAGCTCTGGTAGCATAGTGGTTACGAATCGGGCTGATAACCTCAAGGTCGGCAATTTGAAACTACTAGCCGTTCCGCTAAGGAGCTCTGTTAGCGTAGTGGTTATGAATCAGCCTGCGAACCACGAGGTCAGCAGTTGGAAACTACCAGCTGTTCTGCGGGAGAAAGATGAGGCTTTCTGCTCCCATAAAGATTTACAGCCTTTGAAACCCTGTATAGGGTCACTATAAATCGGAACCGACTCCACGACACATAACAACAGTCGTTCTGCTGAAGAAAGATGGGGCTTTCTGTTCCCGTAAAAATTTACAGCCTCGGGAATCCTATGAAGGGTCGCTATGAGTCAGAACTGACTCCACGGCACACCACTACCACACCCCCAACTCAATAATTTCTGGGTTATTTATTCAGTCCTCTGCCATTTGCTGAATATGAGGTTAGACACTTACTTTTTTTAATGGGTCAAGTCAGGTAATACATGATGAGTACTACAAGCAAAACATTTCTACAGTTACAACATTGTAAAGCAATAATAATGATGATGATAGCAAGTTTCAGGCATTATTCTATCTTGGTTTTGGGAGAAATTATTTAACCTATCAAAACCTAGGTTTCAGCATCTATAAAATGGGGCAAGGATCCCTGTTGTGAAGAGGATACGTTGACTGCATCCTCTAAGCCAGGAGAGCACACTTCCTCTCCGGACCTACAGAGGGCAACGTCGTCAGTTGCAGCCTCCCTTCCTTAGGGGCGGCGCTCTATCTCGACGGAGTCTTTCGCCTCCACGTGGGGACGCAGGATGGCGGCGGCGGCCGTGGCGGTGGCGGTAGGTGTGCGTGAATGGAGGCGGGGGATCCCCGCCACTGAAAGCTGGGTCTTTGGGGTTCCTGAAGCCAGAGAGGCGGAAGAAAGGCCTCCTCTTCTGGCGGCCTGTCTGACCCCCGCCCCGCGTGTCTGCGCAGGGCGATGCGGTGGCGCACGACGTGCAGCGGTTACTAGTGCAGTTCCAGGATGAGGGCGGGCAACTGCTGGGCGCCCCGTTCGACGTACCGGTGGACATCACCCCGGACAAGCTGCAGCTCGTGTGCAACGCGCTCCTGGCCCAGGTGAGCGGCGGCCGGGGGTCGGCGGCGGCGCATCTCCTTCTAGGCTCCGGGGGCAGGCAGCGTTGCCCCGGCCGTGTTCAGGCGGGGTATCTAAAGGCCGAGGGTCTGTGGTTCAAGATCCCCTACTACTACTCACGCCGTGAGCCCACAGAAGTGCCACCCACCTGGGAGGGCCCAGAACTTGTAGTCGGTGAAAGCGCTTTGCTCGTTCACCATAGCATCCACTTGCAGAGAGCGACAGAATTTCATTCTCATTGAGTGCAGTATCTCACTGGTTTTTCGCCATAGCCCCTGAGACACATTAATATCAACGTTTAACAATGTGGCCCCGAAGGATTAAATTATTTATTTGCACGATGCTACACTGTAAAGACTCTTGGTGTGGACCTCAAGGTTGGTTTGAACAGCAAAGTCAGCGGTTCAAACTCATCAGCTGCTCCTTGGTAGCACTATATAGGGGTCGCTATGGATCGGAACCGACTCGATGGCACTTAACAACACTGTAGGTAAGGACTCTTAGTGTGGTGCTATAAGATTAGCACTGAATTGTGAACCACAAGGTTGGGAGTTTAAACCCACCAACCAGCTGCTCCTCAGAGAACCCTACTTATGGTTGCTGTGAGTTGGAACTGACTTGGAGGCCCTTAAGAACACCAACACTGTAGGTAAGGCACATGGGTGCTACAAATGGTTTGTGCTTTCTCCCACAAAGAATTATAGTACACCTCCTGGAGTGGCGCTGTAGGTTCAGCACTGGACTGCAAACCACACAATCGGAAGTTCAAACCCACCAGCTGCTTCCTCCGAAACCTTTTGCAGGGTCAGTATGAGTTGGAACCAATTCAAGACATTTAACAACAACAAAAAAACTTGTGGAGTTCTAGTGTGGCTCTGTAGGATAAGCTCTGGTCTGCAAGTTTGGCAGTTCAAACTTACCAGTTGCTCCTCGGAGTACCTATACAGGGTTACTGTAAGTCGTTACCAACTGATGGAACTTCACAACACCTCACCTAAATGTTGTCAGTTTGAACCCACCCTGCAGCACGTGGGAAGAAAAGACTTGGTGATCTTCTTCCGAAAAGATTACAGCCAAGAAAACCTTTTGGAACAATTCTATACTGTAACACATGGGTCACCTTGTGTCCAGTCGACTTGATGGCAATGGGGCACATATAGTAGATGGTGGACCTGGAATTAGAACACAAATCTATCAGCCTTCTAACCCACTGTTTCTCAAAGTGCTGCGCTCAGATCATGCAGTGGGTGGGGAATGCTAGTTTAAAATGTGGCTCCTGGATCCCACCCTAGACCTGCTGAACCAGATTCTGAGGATAAAACAGAGTACATTTTTAACAAAATTTTTGGATGTTTCTTATACATTATGTAGCATAGTGTGGTCCTTTGAGAAACACTGCCTATCTCTGTATGCTATCCCTAGTGGAGTTCTGATGCCCTGTGAGATAAGCACAAGGTTCGTGCTTCAAACCCACCAGGTGCTCCTTAGAAACCCTATGTACAGGGTTGTTAAGAGTCAGAACTGACTTGATGGCATTTAACAACAACAATCCTTAACATTGGTTTTCTTTTTCTGGTGGCTCAGAGGGTTAATTGTTCAGCTGCAAGTGGAGAGTCACCAGCTGCTCTGGGAGAAAGATAAGACAGTCTGCTTGGCAAGTGGGTTTGCTTTTAGGTGTTTGGAACAAACAGAACCCTTTGGTCATCAGCAGTGGGACACTGGGCTAGTTGTTACTGTAGCCTCCTACTCCGAGCCATTTTGGTCCTATTCAGTTGTCAGTGGGAATAGTAATGTATACATCCCAAGGTGCTATATAATGTCATTCAGTCATTTTTGAAGGATTCAGAGGGTCTTGCTCAGTGATGGGGAGTTGCCCTTTGCCTTTGCCTTCTAGGAGGATCCTCTGCCACTGGCTTTCTACGTGCACGATGCCGAGATCGTCTCCTCTCTGGGGAAGACGCTGGAGTCACAGATGGTGGAGACGGAGAAGGTCCTGGACATCATCTATCAGCCTCAAGCTGTCTTCAGAGTCCGCGCCGTGACCCGCTGCACCAGTTCCTTGGAGGGTCACAGTGAGGCCGTCATTTCTGTGGCTTTCAGCCCCACGGGGAAGTAAGGACAGCAGTACTGGGGAGAGAGATGTGTGGGGTACCGTCTCTGGCAGCAGTAAGGAGGGTCCCTCAAGTTGTGGTATCAGTACCATAAGACAGAGCCATGGCTCAGGGTGCAAGTGAGTCACTTTCCCATAGACAATGAGGTTTGGTCCCCAAACGGCAAGGACACGTGCCTTGGAAAAGTTCTTGGACTTGGTGTTGGGAAATCCGGGCTAGAAGCTCAGCCCCACCCCTTTCTAGTGGTGGGACTTGGGCAAGTCACAACTTTTCTGAGCTAATTCTTCATATGTGAAACGGGGTTGTAAGTCCAGGTGTGGCACCGTAGAGATAAGCACTGGACCAGTGGTTCAAACCCACCAGCCACTCCTTGGAAAACCTATACAGGGTTGCTCTGAATGGGAACCAGCTTGACAGCACTTAACAACAACCCCATGGGTTCACAAGCTGCTGTAGCCTCAGGAAGGAAGAGGACAGAAAGGCCTGCTGGGTCTTTCCCAAATGGTGTCATTGTTAGATTTCTCCTTTCTTAGGGGAGACAGAAAAGTCTTGGATTCTGTCACTGAGGACATGCATGGGCGCTGGGGATGGCCTGGGTGCAGTGTTTAGGGGATGGGCCACTCTCTCCCACTGCAGCGGTCTCAAGCAGCCCCTTGTCCCTAGGTACCTGGCCAGTGGCTCCGGAGACACCACAGTGCGCTTCTGGGACCTCAGCACCGAGACGCCGCATTTCACATGTAAGGGTCAGTATGCAGTCAGCCATTTAGGGGGCCTTAACGCAGTGGTGGATGGCTAATGTGCTCAGCTTTTTAACATCTGGTCCATATTCCCCCTGTGGGACCCAGTTAGTGGTTGCTTATTCCTGCACATGGACAGCTCCTTGGAGCCTAGCCAGTGCTTACAAACTGCAGAGACTGGACCGAAGAGTCAACGTGGTGCTGGGATGTATGTAGGGTGTGTAGGATGTGTGTGGGAAATCCTGGGTTAAATCAAAACCACACAGTGTTTCTCACTTTAGTGTGCCTCAGAATCACCTCCAGAGCTTGTTAAACTACACAGTTCTGGGTCCACCCCAGAGTTGTTGTTTTATTAGGTCTGAGGTGGGGCTTGAGAATTTGCATTGCTAACCAGTTCCCCGTAATACACATGCTGCTGGTCTGGGGGCCACATGTGAAATAATCACTGCTATACCACATACTAAGGAGCTCTGGTAGCGTAATGGTTATGAGTTGAGCTGCCAACCTCAAGGTCAGCAGTTCAAAACTATCAGAGGTTCCACAGGAGAAAGATGAGGCTTTCTGCTCCCGTAAAGATTTACAGCCTTGGAAACTCTGTGCAGGGTCACTATGAGTCAGAACCGTCTCCACGGTATTCAACAACAATGCCACGTAATAGACTGGCTAGGTGCCCTTGTTTTCTTATCTGGAAAATGGGGGTGCTCATACTTGCTTTGCTGTGTACCCTAGAGCCACTGTGAAAATGACATAGGGTGATGTGTGCAGACTTTTATACTATGGATCACATGAGCAAAGTGGGTTCTCTGCAGCAGGTTGCATAGTTGGGAGCACTGGGGTTGTATTCTCCCTTTGCCTAGAAGCCTCTCTCACCCTATTTTTGGTTTTAAAGAACCAGAACTTACTTTTTCAGTTCTGGAGGCTTAAACTCTAAACAGGGTCTCTGCTTTGTCAGTGGCTCCTGGTATTCTTGGCTTGTAGCCAGTTGTCACAGAATGTCTGTCTTTCCATCCCTGTATGCACTTGCCTCTGTGTCTTTTGTCACTGAATCAGTGCCTGTCTGCCCTGCGCCATCTTCATGAACATTGCTCTGAGTCCCTTTTGCTTGTTTCCTTTATTCTATCATTTATTCTGCCAATCCACCTGGAGCACCTGCAGTGTGCCGGGCATTGCTAGCAGTAGGGATAAAGCTAGCAGGGTCCTGCCTTTCTCCATCTCTGCCTCTTAGGACACAGACACTGGGTCCTTAGCATATCCTGGTCTCCGGATGGCAAGAAGCTGGCTTCTGGCTGCAAGAATGGTCAGGTATATGGTGGTCAGGATATGGGTCCACTTGGCTGGGAGAATATTCAGAGTCAGGTTCCAGGGGGTTCAGGGAGTCTCGGTGGGTGACAGTAGGTGGGGGACTTGGTGCTCCCAGGGACTGGTTGAGGGGATCATTTGGTAAGCTTCTGCTCTTTAGATTCTCCTGTGGGACCCAAGCACAGGAAAGCAAGAGGGCAGGACCCTCGCCGGTCACAGCAAGTGGATCACTGGCCTGAGCTGGGAGCCCCTCCACGTGTAAGTGAGCTGTGGGGGCAGCGTGTGGGATGTGCTGACTGAGGGGCCAGGGTCTAAAGCTGTCTCCGTCCCTGCTCAGTACAGAGAAGTTCTGCATGGCAGAAATGGGCAGTTTGAGTGGCAGGTGACAGCTTGGCAGGCAGTGGGGACCGTCTTTACCCGCATTGTTGCTTTCGGGGAGGCTACTCGCCATGAGGCCTAAGAGACGCATGCAGTGCAGCCGGATCATGTTAGGACGCTCTCAGATTGTCGCTCGTCTTTTAATTGGGAAGGAGAGGAGCCATGCAAGGCAAGTCACATCTGTCTCCTTGCTAGGAACCCTGAGTGCCGCTACCTGGCCAGCAGCTCCAAGGATGGCAGTGTGCGGGTATGGGACACAACCGCAGGCCGTTGCGAGCGCATCCTCACCGGGCACACCCAGTCAGTCACCTGCCTCCGGTGGGGAGGAGACGGGCTGCTCTACTCTGCCTCCCAGGATCGCACCATCAAAGTCTGGCGAGCTCATGATGTACGAGCCAGGAGGGGGCCAGGGGTCAGGCTGGGAAATTGAGGGTCATGAGGCGCCGGCAAGCCCAGTGTTTCTGACACATTGTTGTGTGGTCAGGGCTACACACTGGAGAAGATTCCATTCAAGGCTCTGAAAATTCTTGCCGTATGGAAAAGCCTGTTTAGCTTTGTCAGACCTAACACGTCCTGAGTGCATTTGACTGAAGCTCTTTTCCTCTGACATACTTGACCTCCCTTCCTTGAAACATATTTTCGGAAACATTGATCAGGAGAGGGGCCCTTATTTTACCAAGGAGGAGACTTGAGTATAACATGATCTGATCAAGATCACGGTGAATGAATGGTGACACTGGACCTGATTCATCGTCCCCATTTCATATCTTCAAAACTAATTTTGGGGGTGTGGATCCCCCTAGGGTGGAAAGTGGTGAGGGGGATGCTCTGTCTGGGTGGCTGACCTGTGTCTCTTCTCCCCCACCCGCAGGGAGTGCTGTGCCGGACTCTGCAAGGCCACGGTCACTGGGTGAACACCATGGCACTCAGCACTGACTATGCTCTTCGCACAGGAGCCTTTGAGCCTGCAGAGGCCTCCGTCAATGCCCAAGACCTCCGAGGGTCCTGTGAGTGAGCGGAGGAGGGGAGAGGAAGCTGTTGGACCGCTTGTGTGGGGTTTTCTAATAAGCCTTGTTCCTTGTCTCCTCTCCTTCCCATGCCTGGCCACAGTGCAGGAGTTGAAGGAGAAGGCTCTGAGCCGGTACAACCACGTGCGGGTGAGTTGTTCTGACCAAGTGCCTCCCCAGTTCTGCACCTCTTCCTCCACTGGTCCTCAAAACGGGCTTGCTAGCCCCAGCTCAGAGTATAGTTTTTTCAGAAAGTTGTTTTTTATTATTTTAGTTTACAATCCTAAAATCTGAATGTACAAGGGGTCACTTTGTCTTACTTTGTTTTGTTTGCTTGCTTATGTATTGCATTCCCAGGGTGCCTCTCTTTCTCATTTAATTTGTTGATTCAGTAACACATTCATCTGGTGTAAAGTTCGAAAGATACGAAAGGTATTTAGTGAGAAGTCTTGCCATCTCTGTTCCACAGATAATCAATCAAGCAGCCAGCACTGTCAGTACTTATGTCTCCTGTTGGAGATTTTATATACACCTACCTATGTGTGTATATTATATAAGTACAAACACACATATATCTTGCTTTTTCATGTAACATCAGACTGCAAAGTCGTTTGAACCGCAAGGTTGGTGGTTCAAGCTCACCAGCTGCTCCTTGGAAGCCCTATACGGGTTGCCATAGATTGAAACCGACTTGACACACTTAGGAACAAATAAATCGTAAGACTCATTCCATGTCAATACATAAAGTTTTCTTTTCCTTTTGGGGGAAGTGACTGGCCTGATTAGTGAATAATTTCTAAGGATCAGCACAAAACTGATCTGGACTGGGGCGTAGGTTGAAGATGTCCAATCGTCCAACTTTTCCAAACTGCTATGCCATTCCATCATCTAACATCAACTCCTCCCCCTCACCTCAGTACTTTTCCTCCAGCCTTTGGGTTTGGTGATTCACTGCACTGTCTCACAGAACTCACCAGTAGTACTTAACACTTCAGTGGTTTATTAACAAGCGAAGTCACAAACAGGAACAACTCAGGATACAGTTCTGAATCAGGACTGCTGCTTTTCACCCTCTGCTGGTCAGCCTTGCTTGGGACTTGCTAGGGGTCAGCAAGCCTCACTTCAGCCATCCCCTGCTGCTATCTCTCTTGCTGCTGCTGAACCACGTTCTGTCAGTGTCTTCCGTGTTAGAGCTCCTCCCTCTCACTCTCCCTATTTCCTTTAAGTCTGGTGGGCTGGCAGAACTGACCAGTCCCCTCATTAGGGGTCTATACACTTTCTTTGCATGGTCCCACCCCTGCACCTTAGTTATGTTGGCAGCATACTGTCTGATCCTCTTCATGGACCACAAGCTCCTTATTTGCATCGTCCCACTCAGTCATTAAATGGGGGTCACAGAGACTACGGCCAGAAGTTGAAAGGCTGTATTAGGTAGTTGACTTCATCTTACCTGGGGGTTCTTTCTCCTAGTCCAGGACCCCCTGGTCCTGGGTTTGGGTAAGAAGTAGTATTTGCTCCTGGACCACATCTCTCACAGTATGCTCTCTGCCTCCCCAGGGCCAGGGCCCAGAGAGACTGGTGTCTGGCTCAGACGACTTCACCCTATTCCTGTGGTCCCCAGCAGAGGACAAGAAGCCCCTTACACGGATGACGGGACACCAGGCCCTCATCAACCAGGTGCTCTTCTCGCCTGACTCCCGCCTTGTCGCTAGTGCCTCCTTCGACAAGTCCATCAAGCTGTGGGACGGCAGGACCGGCAAGTGAGTGGATGAGGAGAGGGCTTAAGGAAAGAGCTGGGCTTGGGCAAGTGTTTGGATTTTCAGGGCCACTTTCCCTTCTGTAACATACAAATGAGGCCCTGCTGTTACGAGGATTAAGTGGGATGGTATATTTAGGGTCAACCCTAAATGGGCTCTGCAGCTGCCCACCTGTTTATGTCTGAGGAGAGGAATGATTTTACAAAAGGCTGGAGACACGGCAGCCCTGGAGCTGGTGGCGTACAGGTTTGTGCTCTCCTTGCCGTCTGACCCTCACTCCTCAGAGTATGGGCCACAATCAGTGGCATCTGCATCACCTGAAAGTTTGTTGAAATGCAGTATCGGGCCCCACCCCAGCCCTTCAGAATCACCTCCTGCTTTTCATCACCTGAAGGTCCCCAGGTGATGCGTCCACCTGTTCAGGTGGGAGGAGCACTGCTGCAATGAGGCTGCCTATGCTTGGGGTTGAGTAGATTGGAGCTAAGGCAAACATCTGGGCAAGTAAGCAAAAGGGGCAAGAGAGCCCTTATTGGGCCTGAAGGGGAGCTGAGCTGATTCTGAGTGCCCACTATGTATGTGTCAGGCATTGTGTCTTTTCACTCAGAAACCCTTTGAGCTGGGTAATTCAGTTTTTTAAGAAAAGGAAACCGTCGCTCGGAGAGTCCTCACGGCTTGTCCTAAGACACACAGCTAGTCTTCACTGGTATGAAAGCCCCAGATAGGCCTGGCTCTCTGTCATCCCATGCCACCTGCCACTGTGTACGGAAGTGTTGAGGACAGTCTGACAGGTTGGCTATCCAGATGACAGCATGGGATTCTAAGGTGTACATAGTAGAAGTGGCTCATTTGGAAGAATTTCACACAACAGTAATGACCAGTGTGCTTAAATTGATCTGGGGTGGGAGCCAGGCAGTGAGATTTCCCCAAAGTTCCCCCAGGTAATTCTCCCATACAGCCAAGGTTGAGAACCACTGCACTCGGTTTAGGAGACTCTGCAGTCCAGGTTTGAAGCCTCTTGGCCATCAGCCTCTCCCCTGGCTCAGGTACCTGGCTTCCTTGCGGGGCCACGTGGCAGCTGTGTATCAAATTGCATGGTCAGCTGACAGCCGGCTCCTGGTCAGCGGCAGCAGTGACAGCACGCTGAAGGTGTGGGACGTGAAGGCCCAGAAGCTGGCCATGGACCTGCCTGGCCATGCTGACGAGGTATGGCGGCCACCCTGGGGGCAGGAGAAGGGCTGGGCTGAAGCCTGCCCCCTAACCCTCTCCTCTTTGACTTAGGTCTATGCTGTCGACTGGAGTCCTGATGGCCAGAGAGTGGCGAGCGGAGGGAAAGACAAGTGCCTCCGGATGTGAGTGGGAGAGGTGGTAGCTGGCTGCTCAGCGTTCCTTCAGCCTTTCTCTTTAGATCTAGAATTCTGAGGGACCGTCGGGTGCCAGGTTCTCAGTGGGCAGGTGGGAGGCCTTCAGGGATCATGGGAGACTGCCAGCGCTCCGGCCATTCTGCAAGAAAGAGCCCAGGGCTCGGTCCAGAATGTGCCTATAATTTTGTTGAAGCCTGGACTTTAAAGTCTTCAGCTCTGAGTTCAAATCCTGGTTCTACCTTTCTCTGTACAGTCTTGATTAACCTGTTTCTTGGGAATTATCAAAGCTCAACAGACGGTTGGGAGGAACAAAGAAGGAAAGAGGGGAGGGACATGTAGGGACCTGAAGCCTTCTGTGCTTGTGAAGCATGGTCACTGTCACTGCTGGCTGTGGTGGGCTTCCCAGTGGAAGGCCTGGTCAGTCAGTGGGTGTACAGCCTGAATGTGAGTGACTGCAGCAGAGCTAGTGACTAGGACCCTGCTGAATGTGAGGGGAAGCCACAGGCTCTTCCCTTTAGTGGGCTCCTCGGATTAGACAGCAGCCTGTCTCCCTTTGCTGAAGTGGGATCCCCATCCTGACTCCCTCCTCTTCCCCCCAGATGGAGGCGATGAACTCCCCCTTCTCTCTGATCCCCACCTGGACTCAGCCTCTGCCAGCTGCCTGCCTGCCCCAGAGGGGACCCTGAGAAGGCGTGTGTCCTGCTTTCCTGGGACAGACCTCAATGGCGTGTCCCACAGCTCCTCTGTCTGGGCCACCCAGAGCTGGAAATGGAAGGTCACAGGTCACCACTGAGCTCAGCATCTAACCATCATTCTCTTGTGTTGGCAGAGTGGCCGGACCTCTGCTGCTCTCTGCCTCCTTTCCTGACCTCGTCAGGATCAGATCCCAGAGTCTTTTGGCCAGATAAATAACTTATATTTTGTGTGTTCAGTTTATAATTTTCTCTTAGGCTCTCAAAGCTCAACCAAGGTCTGTGCTGAATCACTTTGTTTAACCCCTCCCACCCCCACCTCTGTAATGGACCAAATGAAAACCACAGTGATCAGGAGTAGCTGCTCTGCTTGCCCTGTGCCTGTGAAGGGGAGGCCACCCAGTCCCAAGGCTAGGCAGGGCAGAGAAGAGCTGGCAGAAGCCCATCGGGATGATGGCCAAAGAGGATCAATTAAGGTGGTACTGTCCAATGGGGCAGCCGTTTGCTCTATGTGCCTGTTAACGCTAGCTAGAATGAATACAAATGTAGCTTCTCAGTCACTTTAGCTGAAGATGCCTGAACTAAATGGCCTAGATACAGAATGTTTTCGGCATTGCACGCCTCTGTTGGGCAGTGTGCTCTAGATGGGGCAGCCCTTGGCCTCCCAGGCCCTATAGTGCACCCAGCCCTGTGCTGGGCTCCTGTGACACAGGACAGAGGACTGTGGAGGCTCTGTTGGACTGGGATACTGTGCTGTGGGTGGACTTCTCTGATCCTTGGTCAAGTTCTCACGCACTGTGCATCCTCCATCTAGTGCTGATGATAGCTACTCAGGTTGAACTTCCAAGCCATCCCCGTATGTTAGCATGGACTGCTCAGGACCGCAGTACTTCTGAGATGTGGGTCCATGTCACACCCCCATCTACACTCAGGATTTGGCAGCTCATCTAGCTGCTGTGGTTCTCAGTTTCCACCTTGCACATCTCTGACATGAGGCTGGACAAGTGACAAGGGACCAGTAGTGACAGAGCTTCTGCTCAGGACTAGAACTTCTCACCTGTGGTCCTCACATTAACCCTGCAGCAATGCCTGCGAGATTCTCATCCTTTGTGTGTGTATGTGAAGGAAAATCAGCCTAGGAAGCTTAAAAGATTCCTCCAAACCCCTGTGGAGCACAGTTCTACACTGATACTCATGGGGGTTGCCTTGAGTTGAGTCTGAATTAATGACAACTGGTGGTTACATCCACTAAGACAAAGAGCTAAGAGTAGACCCAGATCCTGTCCCCAATGCTTGTACATTTTCTACCACATCCAAATTTCCTGTCCAAAATCCCTGATTTTCCTGATACGATAGTGTTTTTGCCTTTATGTGCCAGTCTCTCCCAAAGGAAAAGGTGGCGGTGGTAAGTCAAGCAGTTGGTTGTGATAGTGTCCTGTTCCATGGCCACTCTTTGCCACCTACCTGGACTCTTGGTCCTGGCAGAATGGAGAAAATGTTTACTTACATCTGACCCAGCTGAGACTCCACAGAAGAAAACAAAATGGAGGGCTGCTGGGTGACCTGCAGTTCTTTAATGAGGGACCTGGACCCAGCCCAGATATGGGAACAGGGAGACTAACAGCTATGGGCAGGGGCTGGGCTGGGCTAGCCTGTGATGTCCCCAGGTGAATGGGGCTCCCGCCTGACCTTAGTCCTGGCCCAGGGTTGGAGTTGCAGTACCCGGCTGCCCGGGCATGGGCTAGCAGGCTTGTCAGTGGTTCTCTGACGGGCCGTTGGTTGTACATCTCATGATTCTGGCTCCTCAGGGCCCTGGGCCAACGCTGAAAATACTTGGACTTTCCTGGGGACCTCTCCCTTAGTAGGGAAATAGGTGTTCAAGGTCCTCTAGCTTCCGCATCTCATTGAGCCCGATGGTTACAGTTTTCCGTTGTGGTTCCCTGCGCTGCACAGTGATTTGAATAGGGTTGTTCTCGGGGAAGCTGTTCAAGTCAGTGGCCACAGTTGCAAACTGAAATAAAACAAAGCCCCTCAGGATTCCTTCCCAGACCTGATTCTGGCTTACTTTTTGTCTGTCTCTGATTTGTCTGCTAGATAGGATCTTAAATAGCTTTCTCCAACCTAATCATTGACACAAAAAGGGTCCTGAAATTGCTCAAGGTTATCTATCTGATAGTTACCAAACATGATTCAAGGCTGTGCCTCCCCAGTATGATGTTTCCACTAAGGACTGTGAACTCAGGCCTCTTTACCGTGTCCACCCTACCCCCAGGCTGTACCCTTCTTTACCCCAGTGCCCCTGTCTTCCTGGTCCACATACAAATTTTGGTACTGAATTGTGGAATCCCAAAATCTCATGGTGATGTTGCAGTCCTGGTAGGCCCTAACCTCAAAAAACCACTGCCACCAAGCTGATTCTGGCTCATAGCAACTCCCTAAGACAGGGTACAACTCCCTAGGGTTTCCTGAAGTTGCAGATTTTTACAGGAGCAGACAGCCTCATTCTCCCCTGGAGTGACTGATGAAGTGAAACTGCTAACCTTGTTAGTTGCCCTATGGGTAACCCAATAAGCCACCAGGACTCTTTAAACCCCAGAGAGACTTAATCCTTAACCCTCCCAGAGAAAATCCTAGAATTGCATGTTTTTAGGTGCTGTCAAGACGGTTCCAATTTAGCAGAACAAAACACTCCCCAGTCCTGCGCCCTCCAACAATTGTTTGAGCCCATGGCTGCTAGCAGAAAGGTGAATTGTGAGGGTCTGGGGTGGCGCTGTAGGATAAGCACTAGACTGCACACACCAGTCGTTCAGAAATCCCATACAGGTTTGCTGTGAGTTGGAACTGACTTGACAGCACTTCACAATAAAAATGTCCCCAACCTCCAAAGCCCCATACTTTATGCCCCTAGCCATCTCCCAGGGCTCACTTTGTAGGGCTTGCACCACTTGCCCACCCCAGCTGTGTTGGCTGCACGGACAGTGAGGCAGTAACTGGTGTTAGGCTTCAACTCCATCAGCTTGACGGTGGTGCCAAAGATCTTGCTGAAGATCCATGGACGATTCTTTGTCTTGGGCAGCTCATTGTCCTTTATCTTGGCTACTTCCTGCAGCAAGACCTGGTAGAAACTGACTTGCTGCTTGCCCAAGGCATAGGTCCAGGAAATCTGGGGGAAGATAGGCCCAAGACTTCCTCAGATGTGGTCTGTCCTACCACCCACCCCTGCAAGTTCAGGATGTTGTCTCCTGTTCCTTCCCCGCCCCTCAGTCATCCCTGGGTAGCCTCTTGTCACCTTGGGGTGCGCCCTCAGTCCATATGTCTTATTGACTCTAGAGTCCACATCAGGTGAGAGGGACTTTACAGAGCATCTTGTCCACCTTGTTCATTGCAGATGGGGTTAAGGGTCCAAAAAGGCTAAGTAACTCAGCTAGGGTCATACAGCAATTAAGTGGCATAGCCAAGATTCAAACCATTTCTAAAACCCACAGTGCCCTGTAACCAAGCCAACTCAAATGACTGCTGTCAAGCCTGATTCAGTGACCCTGCAGGACACAGTAGACTAGCTTTCTGACCGTAAATGTTTGTGGAAGCAGACTGCCACATCTTCCACAGAACGGTGGGTTTGAACCACTAACCTTTGGGTTAGAAACCAAGGACTTTAACCACTGTACCACCAGGGTTCCTTTCCACTACAACAGTGGTTACCAAACCTGGCTTGCCAAGCATCTCAGGGCATTTTTATGACACCTTAGACTCTGGTACTAGCTGTCTCCTGTCTGGTCCTCTATTTCCAGTTTCTTCTCTCTAGATCAGGGATTCTCATACTGGTGTGCATCAGAAAACCCTGGAAGACTTGTTGAAACACAAATTGCTGGGTCCACACCCACAATTTAAGATTGAGGAGGCCCAGGGTAGGGGCCAGAAATGTCTCTAACAAGTTGTTCTGTGATACTGATGTTGCTGGTCTGGTGTCTGGTCCCCAGAATCTGAGTTCAGGTTTGGGATGGGACTGGGGAAGCTACCTCTTTAATCAGCTCCTCAGATGGCTGATGCAGGTGCTCTGAGAACCCCTGCTAAGACTTTTTAAGTCCACCCTCCAAAGTGGTGTGCAGTCACTCTGGGGAATGACCACACTTTGAAAGGTAAAATAACAGTTTAAGTTGCACCTATGTTAAGTTCTTTCAAGTTGATTCAGACTCAGAGACCCTGTATAGGATTTCCAAGGAACCGCTGGCGGGTTTGAACTGCTGACTTTGTGGTTAGTAGTCCAGTGCTTACCCTACAGTGCCACACCAGGACTCCCAAATTGCACCCATAGTTCCCATAGCCTGATACAAATTTTGCCAATAATTTGATACAACCCTTTCAACTGTGCCTATGGCTCACAGAAAATTGTTACCATAGCTAACATTGGAAGGGCTCCCCCAAATAACCCCAGACTAACTTTCCTCCTCAATTCCCCTCTATTTCCCCTTTCCCAACTCTAGGATACTGCTACTCAACATGTAGGTCCATAGGCCAGTGACAGCCCCACCTGACACCTAGTGAATCTGAACCTCAGGGGAGAAGGCTCAGGAACCTGAATTTTAACAAGATTATCAGGCCATCAGAGAAAAAGAGGAAGACCACCAACGAGATGGATCAGCCAGGTGGCATCATTGATGGTGTCAAGTGTGGCAGCGGTAGTGAGGTTGGCCCAGGATCGGACATTGCTTCATTCTGCTGTGCATGGGGTTGCTATGAGTTGGTTTCGACTCGATGGCACCTGACAACAACAACAACATCAGGCCATCTATGTAGCAGGTTAAAGTGTGAAAAGTACTGGATTAGGACCTGAGATCAAGTGAAGCTCCAGTTTCCTCTTTAAATTCTACCTCTGTCCCACCTCCTAACGTTAACCAAAAACCACTGAGCTGATTCCTGCATCTGGAAGTCATGTTTCTTTGCCTCTGAGTTCCTGGTGGCCCTTGACCTGAGCTTTCCCTCTAATATTGATCCCTTTGTGTCTTGCATCAGAGCTCTTTAGACACACACCCTTACTAAACCATGAACTTGAGGTCAGGATGCAGGTCTGAGGCATTGTCACACTTCCCACAGAGCTCAGCCCAGTGCCTGGCATTGGATGGTGGAAAGAGGAGGCCTTTGTTGAGTGTGAGCAAGTACCACCCACCACAGCTGTGGAGTCAGTGACGGTGTGTTCACAGATGAAGGGTGCTTCCGGTACATCCACAACCACAGAGGATTCAGAAGGTGTTGAGGAGGTGTCTGTGTCCAGCTCAGGGTTGTCAAGGTCCAGAAGGCCCCCAGGGACCACTTGCGTCTGAGATTGGTGGCAGCAGAGAGCCAGGTCCCTCTTTTCTACCTTCTTGGTCAGAGAGGAAAAGCTGAATCTATTCAACTCCCCCTCCAGCATCCCTGCAAAGAAACTGCTGTTGGGCTGGGTGACGGTCAATTTGATGGGATTCAACAAGGTGGATGAGATGGGGGAGATGCTGGTGTCATCTGAGCTGCATTCAGAATCCTGCACTGGCACTGGCTTCCTGAATTGGGAGGGAAAGACAGGTGAGCAAGGTGACGGAACCAGGGAAATGAGAGATCACTGCAGCCCACTCCGTCTGGAATCTCCCTGAGGGCAGTCCTGAGTCTGATTCCCCATCATCCACAATGGCTTCTTAACAGGTCAGAACATCCTTTTTGCTCTGTAACAGTGCAGCAAACCCACTTGGGTGCTTAATAGAAATGCAGATTCCTGGTTCCTGGTCCCCAGCAATTCTAAGTCAACAGGTTTGGAGTGGAACTGAGGAAGCTGCATCTTTAATAAGATCCTTAGATGATTCTGATGTTCTGAGAAGCACAATTTGAGAACCCCTGTTAAAACTCTGAGACCCTTCTCCAAAGTGGGGTGCAAACACCCCAGGGGATGATCACAAAATGATCTATTGGGGGATGGGTAAATACCTAAAAAAGAAAATAATAACTTAAGCTTTGCTGAATTTACTGTTTACTAATTTTATTGACTTCACATTTTAAAAGCATTTCACAATATTTATTTTCAAATACATAACATGAAAATTAACAGTAGTGCAGACAAATATAAATGTATTTGGGTGAATGCTCAAAAACTCTTCCATTCTGATTTAAAAAAAAATATTTATGAAATATTTTAAGTATCTACAGAGATATCAAGAATAATATAGTAAACTTCCATTTACTCACCATTCAGCTTAAGAAATAAAACCTTATCAGTAAAGTAAAGCCCCCTGTGTATTTCTCACCCCACTGCATTCCTCATCCTCCTATCCAGAAATCACCAACACAGTGCAGTTAAATTGTGTTTCTTATTTCCCACATATGTCTATAGGTTTGTTACATATGTATGTTATCCTTAGGCAAGATCTAGTAAATTTTTTTGGTATATGTTAAAGCTTTATATAAATGCTATCATGCAGTACATATCCTCTGAAACTTGCTTTTTTATCACTCAACATCTTTCTTTAGATCCATCTATAGTGATAGATGTAGCTTTAGTTCATTCTTCTTAACTGTTGTATGATTTTCCATTACACAGATATTTGCATGGTTGCCAATTCTTTGCTATTACAATTCCCTCTCTCAACCTTTTTTTAAACAATGAAATGCAGTCCAAAAAGTTCGGCTTTCAGATCTCTTTTACTTTGGCCTAAAGTAAAAACATTTTATGTGGTAGCGTAACATACAGACTCATATAACTGTTGTTGTTGTTGTTGTGTGCTGTTGAGTCAGACCTAACTCATATGTACCCCATAGAGGATTTCAGAGGCTTTTTAAAATTTTTGTGGGAGCAGAAAGCTTTATCTTTCTCCTACAGAATGGCTGGTAGATTTAAACTGCTGGATCTTTGGGTTCTATAGATAAACTGACAAAGAGATGGAAAGATGGAATCCTGGTGTGGCATTGTAGAATAAGCATTAGACTGCTAACCATATGATTGGCAGTTCAAACCCACCAGCAGATTCTTGGAAACCCTATATAGGGTCCCTCCTAGTGGCACTGCAGGATAATGCGCTGGAACACAAGGTCAGTTTGAGCTGCAAGATCGGCCATTCAAACCCACCAGCTGCTCCTTAGAAACTCTATACAGGGTTGCTATGAGTTGGAACCAACTGAATGGCACTTAACAACAACAATGAGTTAAAATCAACTAGATGGCAATTAACAACAACGTATATATATCTTTATATATTCCCATAAAGATTTACTGTCTTGGAAACCCTATGCAGGCTTGCTATGAGCCAGAGTCGACTCCCTGGCATACCACCACTACCATAAGTATATGGAATGCAGTGACTCTATAGGATAAGCACTGGACTTCCAACTACAAGATCAGTGGTTGAAGCCCAACCACAGCTGCATGGGAGAAAGAAGTTTTCTGCCCCCACAAAGATTTTAAAAAGTCACACATCTATGCAATATATATGCTTATATATAATGTATACTGCTATACACTGTCATATACACTGTTGTTGTGAAGTGCTGTCCAGTGGGTTCCAACTCATAGCGACCATGTATAAAGTTGTGAATTTGAATTGACAATCTTGCGGTTCAAACCGACTTTGCAGTCCAGTGCATTAACCCACAGCGCCACACCAGGACTCGATATGTATAACATATACTATATATAACGTAAGGAGCTCTGGTAGCATAATGGTTATGAGTCAGGCTGCTAACTTCAAGGTCAGCAGTTTGAAACTACCAGCCGTTCCACAGGAGAAAGATGACGCTTTCTGCTTCCATAAAGATTTACAGTCTCGGAAGCCCTATACAGGGTCACTATGAGTTGGAACCAACTCCACATCACATCACTACCACCATACGTAATTTATACTTGTATGTATATATATATATATAAAATATATGGAGTATATGGAGTCCTGGTGTGGTGCTGTGGGTTAATGCACCAGACTGTCCTGCAAAGCTGTTTGAACTGCAAGGTCGGAAGTTCAAGCTCACCAGCTGTTCCTCAGAAACCCTGTACAGGGATGCTATGGGTCAGAAATGACTCAGCGGCACTTCACAACAACAACAACATATATAATATATACTTGTATATAACTGGTGTGGCACTGTAGGATAAGCACTAAACCACAAAGTTGGTTTGAACCGCAAGATCGTCGATTCAAATTCATAACCTTATACAGGGTTGCTATGAGTTGGAACCGACTGGACAGCACTTCACAACAGTGTATATAACTAAAGCAAATGTTTCGCAAAGTGGTCATTAACGTGCAATGTACTCTGGAATTTCATGTTTTATTTCATTTTTGTAATACTGGCCTCTACTACCTAAATAATATCTTAATCTGTTAATGGGTCACAATTCACAGTTGGAAGAACCCTGCTTTCGAGAACAGTCACAGAACCTTTAAGGGTCATGCAATGAGCTGATAGCAGAATTAGAACCCAGATGTCTCTGTCTCATGCTTTCCTCATACCATGCTATAGTTTCCTTCTGCCTCCAGTGCTTTCTGGTTCCTCTACTTCCTGTGCCACTTCCCTGGCTGCCTTGCCAGGTCCAGCAAGGCCACCCCTGGATCCCTTCCTCCAGTCAGCCTCTGGCTTCATGGTGGATCCTATGGACCTCATTGATCTTTTCCCAAGAAGTCTTGATCAGCTATCACGTATACTTGCCCATGTTGATTCCCCGCCCCTCCCGGGTCCTATTTAGACTGAGGAGTCTGTGTACTGATGTCATTTATACTTCAGATTGTCCTAGTGAATCTATAGACTGGATCCACTTATTGGACACACTGGTGCCGAAGTGGATGTGGAAGGCAGTGAGGCCTTCCACATCCACTTGACTTGTTCTGATTTCCCCAACAGCCCTGCCACATGGGTGTTAGCCTTATTTTGCAGATGAGAGACTGAGGTTACTGATTATGATTAACTTGTCTAAGGCCATAGATCTAAGGAGTTCTGGTAGTGTAGTGGTTACAGGATAGGCTGCTAACCTCAAGGTCAACAGTTCGACTACTAGCTATTTCTTGGGAGACCCATGACGTTCTCCTCCTGTAAGAATTTACAGCCTCAGAAACCCCATGCAAGATTGTTATGAGTTGGAACCACCACCACCAAGGCCATATATCTAAGTGGGCAGTTGTTGTTATTATGTGCCGTCAAGCCGGTTCCAACTCATAGTGACCTTGAATAGGCTTTCTTAGGAGACACTGGTGAATTTGAACTGCCGACCTTTTGGTTCAAATGGACCTTGTGAGCCAGTGCATTAGAACTTGACTTTGAACTCAGGTTTTCTCATTACCATGATGTTTCCTAAAAGCACCTACCACTCCAGTCACACCTGCTGACTTACAGTTCCTTACGGACTGGACACTCTGTTCACCCTTTCACTGAATTGGAGAAACTCCATGAAAAAGGAAAAGTGCAGGGCCCACTTTTTAAAATTATCAATAATTTCAAGAGTAGATCAGGGCTTTAAATCAAGCACAGGGGCCTTCTAAACAATGAAACAGGCCCGGTGTGTGACTGGCTCAACCCTCAGTATTCCACACTCCACTCCTTCGTTTGTCAACTTCACTTTCTTGGAAATTCAGTTCCAATAAGCCTCCAATAATTCATTCCCCAAGAAGCCACCTTGAACCCCCTAAGCTATACTCTTTCTTCAAGGTATCCCTTCATAGCACTGTGTCATTCTCATTAATGCTTGACACTCCCCTGCCCCCCACCACCACCAGATAGGGAGTTCCTTAAGGCAGGGACTGTCCTTTCTAGCTCAGCATCCCTGAAACTTAGCACTGGACCAAGCACCTCGCAGGTACTCCAAGAGCTTTGGGAAATGAAGTAAAGGAAACTAGAATCATTGAGGAGAAACACTAGACTTGACTGAGGGAAGGGAGGCTATTGGGGGACATATTACACAGGTGAAGGCATCAAGAGGGGAAGATAAAGGAAGAGAAGCCATGCAGGAGGGCATACGTGTGTGTGTGTGTGTGTGTGTG